ACACATATATATATTTCTACAAACACACATGCTCAAGTGCAGACACATATGTATATGTTTGTGTGTATATATCTACATGTATGTGTGCGTGTGTATATATATACACACACACACGTATGTATATAAAAGATGGAATTTCAGGAAACCTAAGCCATAAGAAATCTGGAAAGAGCTGCTGATAGGTAAGCAAAGAGTGAGTAGGCAACATGCAGTGTTACATTGTGTGTGCATACATTAGCTCTAGAATTTGTCTTGAACTATGTTTTCCATTCCTATTTGTAAATGTTCGTATCTCTGTGTTTCTACATGCCTAACACTTTCTGTTGGAAGTGCTGTTTGTTGAGAAATGGTGCTCCTGGGGTAGTCAGCTCCTCTTTCTTCATCAGCTTTTCTCCTTGTCCTCCCCTGCCCGGTTGCTTCTGCTATAAACCCATAGCTGCTTTTCCTAGGTGGTTAGCAGCAGGCTTCAGGTGGGTTGTTGCAGAGGTTGTCCCTGGCCCCTCCCTGAGCAGATGTCTTACTGGTTTGTTTGGTTGGTTTTCACACTTCTACCCTTTTTCCCTGTGAGATCCCAGAGGAAAGAAGGGAGTCATCTTTTGTGCTGCTCTGAAAAGAGACTGTTTAGATTTTCCTTCACTTCACTGCCTAGAATCCTTTTATGCATCAATAGGAGAAATTAGAGAAATACACTCTCTTTGATGGATTATATAAATAACCTTTAGGCAGCAAAAACAGGAAAGAATCATGGAGTTCATAACGGAGCAGCAGTTGATTGCTGTTCCAGTTTCATTTACCTTAACAGAAAATTTTGACCCGCAAAGTGAGAACTTTCCCAATTCACATTTATAGTTTTATCTTTCTGTTTGATTTGTGTTCAAATGTTGTGGATGTGCAACGGGTATATAAACATCATCCAGGAAATCCTCCTCCATTGCTGTCAGGTTTTCGGGACATAACACAAGCTGTGTTGTGGTATGAGTAAAACTCATAAAGGAGGGGTAGTGCATCTAAAAGGATGTTTGTATGTTTAGCATACAGGACAGAAATGCAGAGGCACAGGGGCACTCAAACGTGCCACGAAATAATTTTGTGTTTTGCAAACTGAGTTCCTTCATGACAGGCTCATTAAAAGTTCTTGCTGCCAAATGCTGTTTGCTTTCACCTTCAAAACTGTCTGCATTAATAATGAGCAACTCCACTTGGAAGATATTTACATAAAATATTGTTCATGTCAGTGGTGCAGTGCAAGTCAAAGGTGGGAGGGAGAGCCCATACTCACCAAATGAATTTAAAGGCCTGATTTACCATATTTCTCAAAAATACTGGTATAGTCTAAGCTGGTGTGGCAGATTCTGGATGAGGTCTGGTTTAGCAGGACTGCACAGTAAAGGGGATTTACTTCTGCTGAGTTAACTCAGCTAACTGTACTTTGCAAGCCTAAATATTATTTTCAAGATTACTATTAGAATCTTGGTTTCTCTGTTTTGTATTTTGAGACTTTCAAGCCCCATAAACTCCTAACTTCATAAGGAGTACAGATTCTTCTTCAGTCTGCTAGCTTGCTATTCCTAAGTGTTTCCACTTGCACAGATGGCTGTGATGTTGTATCTCTCCATTCCTCTGGGAGCATTGTTGTCAGCAGCTGGTGCATTCCCCATACACAAAGGCCTTCAGTGGTATGGCAGTTACACAGTAATAATGAGAATCTGTAGGAGATTTCCCATAAGATTATTTAAGGGTTGTTTCAAGAGAGGAGCACAGGACCAAACCTGGTTCATGTGGTTACTATAAATATGGCTAAGGTATCTTGGCTTTAAAATTTACTGTATTGTCAAATTCATAGCTTTAAGTTTAACTCAAACGAACAGCCAAAATAATCTAGACTTATCTTCCTCCATACATTTGATACATATATAAATATTTATATATCTAAACGTATATATACATGGTAGATAGATAGATAAAGAAGAGTTGTCCAAATACATACCAGATGTCTATCTTCACCCTGACCCAGAAACAGTTACTTTGGTTTCAGTCTACATCTCTGCCATTCTTATTTCACTGCTTATATATATGTATGCCCTATTCAAGATCTTTACTGACAGAAAAGGTTTACTGGTTTTTTTTTTTAGGTACTGAAATTCTGGGAAAAAAAACAGTTAATTTTTGTAATGCAAAATTATACATAACAGGATCTGGAGCATAAAAATGTTTGCAAATATCTAATTTCCATTGTAGGTAGAATAATTAATATAAACAAACAAACAAAATGAAAATGTACTAGAGACATCAGAGCACACAAGTGTGCAAGTCTGAGTATTCCAAATACTCAGGACTATGGGCTATTAACCAGCATGCTGCATGGAATGCTCAGAAACTGGATAATTTCTAAAGGATTACGTCCACTAAACCTTATAACTCTGTGATTTGATATCTGAAATCTAGTACCTTTTACAAAAGAGTCACTAAGATAGGATCACCTAACTTGAAGCTAATGGAATTGTGGGGGTTTTATTGAAAACAGAATTTATGACAGTGAATATAGTACTTGAAAATATTTCTTGCAGCTGCTAAAACCCTTTTTGGTTTTTTTGGTTTTTTTTTTAACTAAGATTTGTAAAATACCTCTTTTTGTCTTCTGTGCATGGAACTTTTCATAAAGCATTCACACTGTGACTCATTCCCTTCTGCTTTTCCACTCTACCTCTCTAATGTATGGTCAGTTGTCCTTACCAGACACTACCCACATGAATGAAAAGGCCCCTAAGACGATCCATGTGTCTTGTTTTCTGCCCATCAAAGATGGAAATGAACTGCCTTGATTAAAATCACAGTCAGTAATAGGTCAAATTTTATTCTTCCTCAGGCTTATTTAGTTTGCTTAGAAATAAACAGCAGTAAGTACAAAACAGGTTTTATATTTCAGAATTTAAACCTAAAAAGATGGTCATGAGATAAATTTCATGGTCTTGCAAATAAGAATAATACAGCAGCAGTTAGTAACCATACCTGGAATGGAAAAGGTTTTCCTCAAGTCCAACTATGAAACAGGACCTGAGGATAAAATCATAGTGATTTACTAAATACAATAAATATGATGAAATATGGAAATTATTTTCTTTCCTGTGCACTTCTTCTGTAAGAATAAAAGCTAATAAACAAAAAGATCACTTACATTGTTGCATTATCTGTTTTAAATGAATTAAATAATTATAATAAAATATAATACTTAATATTGAAGTATTTGACGTTCCTAATATGCAGTTTCTCCTGAGTAATGGTGTTTGAGTTCCCTAGTGGTCATAGAAAAGGAGCTGTCTTTAGGGCACTTATGAATATATTCTAGTCAGAATACAAAGGAGATGTTTATGAATGTGTGGAACACAATTGTTTTGATTACTGGTATTTGCGTTCATTTCTTACATGATCATAAACACTCTACTGCATAATTTGTACATTAGACCAATTAGAATTTTTAGTTGCATCCTTACAGCAAGTAAATGGAAAATAATACCAACAGGAATGTGATTATCAATGCTTGAAACTAATAAACTCCTCTTTATTCGTGGTCATCCATCTATGCCATATACTGAAATATCACTTTACAAAATTTTCTTCTTCATCATCGCATTAACATTGAATTAGATATGGGCACATATTAGATGCATATATTGAGAACAACTCCAAATACCTGGTTCCTTCCCAAACTGACCTAAAGCAAAAGCCTGGGTCCAGAAGACAATCTCCAATCCCACAATCAGTCAGTGTTTGAATCTTCATCTGCAGCTTCATTTTCTTTTGTGTAAAATGTGTATTTAAGAACTTATGCCTGGATTTGTCTCTTTTACACTCATGTTTTATTCTCTGTTAAGACTTTTTTTTTTTTTAAGACTGCCTAAGCCTGCACTAGCTACCTTTAACAATGCACAGAAAATAGTTGTTGTCTTGTGTAGGAAGCATCACTGACTTACGGCTTTATTGCTAGGGCTGTTCATTCTTATCATCTACAGAGAAGCTTCAGTGGAAATCACTTGCAGCAAAACAGGATTTGCTTCAGCAGCAGTGGGCTCCTGCTTGTCATACCATCACATTTCCAATCATACGTGTCTCTGACAAAAAAGCAGATAGACACTGACAAAACTTATTTGAAAATCGCATCTTTTCTGTACAGAAAGGCTGCATGCTTGCTAGAAGCTATATTTTCCTTCTGTCCCTCCCAGCTTTTTTCTCTAATATCAAATCAAGTAAGACAGCAAAACATGTGGAAGTAAACCATATTCCACAAAAGAAATACAAAGAAATGGTTTTATGCAATATTTCTTCTTCTGATAAATTATTTTACTCAACATCTCAATGATACTTTCATCTTGCTGACAGACTATGACCTACTGAAAAAGACTTGATCTGAGTATAAGAATATGCACAGGCTTAGCAAAAGAGTTTTGATACCTTAGTATTCAGTAATACCACCAGAAAATTTAGGAGCAGCTATCCAGCCTCCAGACCACAGCTCATATAGGCTTAGCCAGCTCAGAGTACAAAAAGGACTGTCTAGCCTATCTTACAAAGGCATAACCTAACCTCCTGTCAGACACGTTGTCTAACTTCTATGTTAGTTTTACATCTTGGGTCACAGAAACTACATCTAAGTAGCAGCAGCTGTAATCAAGAATGAACAGAATCCATTTTCAAGGCTGGATTGAGAGACAGCCCTTAGGGGAAAAACTTCGGGGTGTTGGTTGACAAGAAGGGTCATGCCTTTCTGTTCCTCTCCTCTCTCATCTCATGACAGAATGGATGTGTCACTCCTATTATGATCCTATGCAAAATTCTCCTTTTTCCTGTTATTCTCAGTTTCCTTCCCCTTGATTAGTCTTGTGAGTAGAATTGCAGTTGTACAGTAACTGTTGTCAGAGTGTTCTTTCTATATTAAAAAAATAAAAAATAAAAATTGTCAACTTTTTTTCAACACATAAAAATTTTGTTGGTTATTATTTCAGGATACGGCTGGTCAGGAGAGATACAGAACAATTACCACAGCTTACTATCGGGGTGCAATGGGCTTCATTTTAATGTATGACATCACGAATGAAGACTCTTTCAATGCTGTTCAGGACTGGTAAGTAAACTTAGAATTCATAGTAAGTAGCCCAGACCATATTTGATATCACTCACCTGCTGTGACAGTGTAAGTTATTTTGGAAAACTTACCTCCAAATGCAGTGCCCACATATTCCTATATACCCAAATATACCATAAGATTTCTTAATGGAAAGACAATGAATACTCTAAAATGTGTTGCATGTATTCATTGTAACCATTGTGTTTTCTGTGGTGTCAGTTAATGTGCGTTATTTATACTGCTAAAACCAGCAGCATGCTAGTGTGGAGAATAACTGCTACGATACCAGAAAGTGTTTCCATGTTTCATGGAAAAAAAATGAGATAACATTTGTGGGGCTTGTCTTTTAATTTATTTTTTTCTTATGTTGTTTTTAAGCGTAGCTGGTTACACATAATGTTGCCAGTCTTGTGCCACAATTGTAAAAAAGATGAGCAAACTTCCTCAGAATAAGAGAACCTGAAATGGGCGGTACTTTTATTACCTCCTACTATGTGAATTTCAAGATGTCTCCATTAAAGTGTGTCATTTCAATCAGACGTGGGTCGGTTGGGATCCAAACAATCCAAGACTTTTTTAAGAAAAGCTAACCCCAAAGGAAAGCTAAAGTCAATTTCAGTCATCTCTTCCTTTTCAAGTTATTTTAATATCTGAGAGCCTCCTAGCAGTGCTCTGAGTGATATGAATAGTGTTTGTCATGTGTGCTCCACATGCTCTCTTGCATACTGTTCCCATGGGAGAACTGTGTTTGACAGAAGATTTGGTTCAGAGTCTGTTGATTTGTTCAGTATGTTTCTTTGGCTTTTATTTATCTATTTATCTTAAGATATGCACTACTGTGTACTTCTTTTGGGACAGGCGAGGCCAGAAATGTTTTTCACACTTAAAGTAAAGGGCAGTAATGCTGCAATGCTGATTTCCAATAGGAACTGTTGCCCAGCCTCAGACTTTCCAAGAAAAAAAATACTCTTTCACACTCTCCTAACTATTGTGGTAGAAAGTGTTACTGAATCCATGGAGCACCTCTCTGCACTGGAGGTTTTTTAGTAAGCCCAGTCATTCACCACTCTGAAAATAAGAACTGAGAACCTTAGCTTGATTCCACTCTTACAAGAAATGGTATCTTTGGTTGCCTAACATTTCCTGTGTAAGTGCTATGGATGTAATCATTCACACTCCTCCAGAGCAAAGGGACAACTCGAGAGTGCCCAGAGTGTGTCCTGCCTTCTCTCCCATTACTTATCCATATAACTGCACCAAATTACTCTTGTGAGCATCTCTTTCCATTTACTAGAGAACCGATAAGCTTACATGATTAGTATAGACCAGACAGCTAGTTTTTGGACAATTGAATGTATCTGAGAGGAGTCTCTGCTTGATACTCAAAGAGAAAGACATGTTTTCTCACTGTGACTTGTTATGCCAAAGGGATGTTCTGCCCATTTTACGCGAGCTGGAGGCATCATGCTGAGTGCTTGCTGTTACACATCTGTGAGTACTGCTCTGTTCAAGAAATGAGACAGAATCTCCTACATAACAGAAGGTAGCTGAAAGTGTTATTCATAGATGCTGCCCTTAAAAGTTTAGGAAAACCAGGGAATCAAGTAGTACACCCAGCCTCCTAGCTCAACCTGCAGTTGTGGCTACCAGCATCACTGCTTCCTGGGACAGCCAGTTGAAGCACTTTCTTTCTTTACCTCTGCTGTTCTTTCTTCATGGGCCAATTCTGTCCAAGCACTGGGTTAACTGGGTGATAATGCCTATCTAGGAGCAGCTGTAATCTGCAAATCTCATTGCCCCATGTCTGCGCAAACCAGATGGCATGCCATGTATTATCTAGCTTCCTCCAACACAAAGGTTTCTTCATAACAAGTGTAAATATGAGTACTTATTATTAAATTTTCCACCTGTTTGTTTTCCAGCCCCCTAGATCTGGTATAGTTGGCACTCTTTGTCTACTGGTAAAAACTAACCAGGCTTCATACTAATAAAAAAAAAAAAGAGACAAAATATTTGAAAGCTATGGAGTTCTTAAAAAGGTTCGTGGAATATGTTTTTTTCATCATTTTTATTTAGAAGCTATCCAAACAGTTGGCAGCTACTATAGAAATTCACTGGACAGGAGGTATTGCATTTTTATGTGCTGAGAGCAGTCATGTCCATGATGAAAGGGATGACAGAGAGGCAGAGTGCCTCACTTGTCAGGATGAGACATACATTTGCTTGTCATCTTTATTTTTAATTTCATGAGCCCAGTTGCTGCCCTGCTGCTCTTCCTCTGTTTTATTCCTCCAGTCTCACAGCTGATAATTGATTTTTATTAGCTCATGCTCCAATCTTGATAGTAATTACAAAACTACAGCATGCTTCTGAATGTGAGAGAACTTAAAGAAAACTCACAATGACTAATGCTGCAGAACAGGAAGCATGGCTATGCACATTTACCTGTGCAATTGTGAAAGATCTGGGGGGAGGGAGTGGGATCTTTTAAGCCTCTCTGGGGCTTAAAAAATGCCTTTCTCTGTGTGCCTTTGATGGCAGTGCTGCCATTTCATATACATGCACAGTGGGTCAAATCTAAGCTCAAATCACATCAGCTTCAAGGCTTGATTTAGAAACTGCACTGCAGTCAGGATAATGAATCCACAAGTGCCTTTTACATTTGGATAGAAGAGCTTGGTTTAAAATGCATGTTGGGATGATTCTTTAAAAGCAGTTAGTTCAAAGTGATTGTACTCATACTGAAAAGCATTTTTTTCAGTCTGAAGTCTGGCAGATATTCTTCCTTTACATAACAACAAATGGATAGTCACATTTCTAGATGCCATGCCTAAGTCAGCATGAATCTATTCAGCTGTAAGAAATTCTATACATAATTTGACTATTAACATTTTATATTAAAAAGGAAAAAAAAGTACCTGTAGTTTTATCTAAACCTACTAGCACCATCATATATACAGCAGTGCAGTAGCTAGGCATTTGGCCACTACTCTGAGACTGAGAAAGGCTTTAGTCTAAAAGCTTAGCTAAACTACTTGAAGGTCTGATAAATTTGAACCATACTGCAGACATTTCAGAAAATATTCATTTCTTACCTTCCTTAATTAAAATAAAACAACTTTAAAGATTGCAAATGATGGTAACAACAAAAGAATGTTTTTTTGAGATTCAAAAACTTTTGGCATAAGAAATCTTGAGTTGGTACTTCAAATAGTTCTGCTGCATGTACACCCAGTACCTTCAGTCTCATTCAGAGGATGATGCTAAGAATACACTGCCAATGTTCATGTCCTCTAGTTGTCCAGTCACTTCAGAATTGCTGCCTTCTAGGGTATGTTCAATTCACCTGTGTTCTCTGAATAGCTCTGTACCCTTTTGTGGTTTCAGATGTGCTACAACAGATGCTGTTTAAATGAGCCTGGCTAGACAGACATTTCAGACTGACCCACAAAATTGACAGGTCCTTAATAATTTTCTACTATTTGGACATTTTTTGTATCATTCTGACACTTTATCAACAGTTAGTCTAAATGTTCAAAAACTCTGATAACATAATTGAAGAGTATTTCTCTTCAATTTCAGGTCAGTCTCTGAATGCGTTTCCTCTGATGAAAATGCCAGTGGCAGTAGTCACAGCATTGAACACCATTCTGCTTTATAGATACAGATTGTCAGAAGTTCACAAGGATCAACAATTTCTGTTTTTATTCAGGGAGAGCAGATGTGTGCTGAAAATCTGGCTGCTAACAGAAACAGCAAATCAAACATGCTTTGACACTGCAGATCTCCCATGGAGCTCTGCCCAGATTTTGAAGCTGCCTTTTCCAGGAGTCTTTCTCCCTGAGAAATACAGCTAATGCTCTTCAAGTGCAAGGTGTATATCTTACAGTAGGTTGGTGCATCTTTGTCATGCCACCCTAAAAAGACGCAGATTTGAAGAACAGATTTATTTTCTATAAATAGGAATCACTAGGGCATTGTTTTCTGCGTGGCTGAGGTTTAAATTAGAAATAGAGAATAACTAAAACTGAATTCTTCAGTTTTAAAATTCTTCAGTCTTAAAAGCTGAATTCTTCAGACAGCATCCATAAGTTTAAATAATTGGTGTAGCTCAATTTCTTTAAAAGATTATTTTTATTAAATCTGAAGGGGAAATATGTGAATGTTGAGAGTGGCTCCCAGTTGTTTAAGTGTGTATTTGGTTTAGTTCAGTTACAATGTCAAAGTATTTTCATTCATTCCTCTTTTATACTACCACCTGTAGCATTTATGTTTGTTAGCCTTTTCCATCATTACATTTCACTAGGAGCTGTTATGCTTCCTTTCCTCTTAGTGCTTCAGCCCACATAAGGTTTTAGTTATGTGGCAGTGGTACAGTACAGTAGAAAGGAGAGCATGAAGGCTTTGTACTATCTTTGCAAACACTAGAAACTCAGTATGGTGAGTTCTATAGAGTGCCAGCAAAATAAATGTCTCTGAATTGAAGTTCAATCTGGTTTTATAAATATGACTTTTCCAGACTTTAAATGACTGAAGTCAAAGATTTATTTATGTGCAGGATATTTCTAATGCAGTGTCTCCAGCTAGG